TGTATATACTGTATATATATTGCCATTTATGAAAAAATAAACCAAAAATGGAAGGAGGACTAAAGGTATTTTCATCAGTCAGTCCCTTCAGAATTTTGAGATTGAAACTATTCATGCTAATTTTGCTCATTCTTGTAGTTTTGACCAATTGACTTTATCCATTATATTTTGACATTAGCACTAAAAATAATTGATTTATATCAGTTAACTGATAAGTTTTTTAATTTTTTTGTTTTTGGCATGGCAAAGAAGAAAAAAGTTGAGAAAATGAGAAAATGCTGCAACTTTTTTTTAAAAAAGCTGCTTCAAAATCAAAGAGTAAAGACCACAGTATAGAGAAAAAAATTTTATTATGCAATCTGTAAGGTTAAGAAAAGTGTCCCCTAATTAAAAATAAACTACTTTTCTTTCAACAAAAGCCACTTCCAGCAAACCTAAACCTTTTTTGCTGTTTTCTTCAGCATTTTTAATAACTTGGAAATAACTAGTTCTGAGAACTCTAACTAAACTAGCAAACTAAGTTTATCTTTCTATCTAGTCTTATGATCAGTCAGTTCTTCTGGTCTATACATGCACAGACACGTTTAATTTGTTATTCCAGACATGCATCATGAAATTGATTGCAGGGATGTGTGTGTAAGTGTTGGCTTTGGTGTGTGTGTGTGTGTGTGTGTGTCCTAATTAAGTGTGTCTCAAGAGGGCGATTGCTCAGCCCTCCAACTTGTCTGAAGTCATCAAAAGGAGTGAATGTAACCTTGGGGCTGCTCACTGGATCTCAGCACACAGAACAATGATCTCCACAGAGCCGCAACCACACGTAGACACACAAAAAGCACAGTTACAGTAAAAGGTAAATGTTATGTTGCTTAAAAAAACAACACAATCCTTTAAGTACAATAYGCAAATTATTTATTTTTATTTTATTATTCCTGGTGGCTGTGAGTGGGAGAGCAGCAGAATGTCAAWGAGGTGAAACAGGAGGTGTCGACATGTGTAGCAGCATGTTACRGTACAGTAGCTTCATATTTAACCACAGCTCCTCCAGGCTGACTTATCTGGGATATGCAACCCCCCCACCACCCTTTTTTTAAGCTTCATTTCATTTTCAGGCATTTAAATACTTTTTTGTCCCAGTCAACTTTATCTGAAACAGCCAGCTGAGTTTGGACTTGCTGAGCTCTTATCTTAAAGTGGACACACTGTGTCCTGCTGTGTCACGTTTCTGTTTAAACGCCGTTTGTTTTATCAAACTGCTCTTGATATTTGACATCGTCTTATAATTAGTGTTTATTCAAAACCTTAGAGGTATTATTTTGYAWTACTAWGTGAATCACGTGCCAAACTAAAGACCCACGGGCCAAATGTGGCCCACCACAGCATTTTATGTGTCCCGTGATGCATGTTGATTATATACAAAATGATTGCAAGAGAGTAAAAGTCTCTTACTTTTACTTTTAATAGTATTTCTGTATTGTTTATTTCACATTTCAGTTGCACACGTAGTACTTTTCAATGTTATAAGAGGTTGTGTTAAAACACTGTTTCCATGCAGGAAATACCATGTAAAGCTCAGTTATTGTTAGCGGTGCTCAGCTGTATGAGACAAGGAATGTGACGTTTCATGTTTAGTCCGAGGTATAATACCCCGGAGGGGTCTGCAACCTGCGGCTCTGGGGCCACATGTGGCTCTTTGGTCCCTCTGTAGTGGCTCTTTGAAAATTTGACCAAACACAACAGATTTTTTTTGTTTTGATACTCACAACACTAAAAAATTGTATGCAAATATGTGATCAATACTACAAATACAAAAAGTAAAAYATGTTAGCTCATATTAGCCTGTTTTCTACCTAAATAATCCAACTTATTTCCATGATTTTTCTCTCAAACCCACCAGGGTCATCTTTAAACACCTTTAGGACTACATAATAATAAGAATTAGAAAAAAAAATTCTGACTAGTTCAGTTGTACTGGTTTTTATGAAATACTGTATAAACTAAATACAGTATTTTTCTTTTACATAAATATGTTTTTTTCTTCAGTCCTGAAGTGTAAAAATAATAATAAATAATAAAATTCACAATATAATTTTTAGGTTTATGTCACCTCCACTGGCCATGAAGGTTCACGAAAAGGCCTTGACAAGGCCCACGGACCACCAGTTGATAATCACAGTTGTAGCT